ATACCATCACCAAACGTGTTGCGTGAGTGCTAACAAAAGGATTGGCTTGGTAGTGTAGCGTTACAAAGTTTTAACACTTGAAAACGATGTGTGTATAGGTGAGAAAAATAAAAATTTGGTTGACCAGGAACCGGAAGTAAAATAACCCTAAAATTCTCTACCTATTATTCGCATATAGCTTTCCCAGCCAATAATACCAAATTAGTCGAACTAGCAACCCCAAAATTTCCAAATGGGTTTCGCATTAAACAAGCATCTTACTGCATTGTCATCACCTGCCACACGGGCCACAAATTAATCATAAGCAGAAAAACAACAATACAACACTCCCAAAATTTGACATCAGGCCACAAATTAATCATACGCAGAAAAACAACAATACAACAATCCTAAAATTTGACATGAAGATGTATATCATATATAAAAGTTAGGATAAACTAAAACTCTTCATATACAAAAGTTAGGATAAACTAAAACTCATCATATACAAAAGTCAAGATAAACTAAAACAACTCATCAACGAAAGGATTAAGGTAAACTACAACGCGTCGACGCTTATCAACAAGAACAGTTATATATACGTCTTCTCTAATTAATTCACTTGGTAGCTAGGCACGCGCACACAGTGATTCGCAAAATCTAAGTTACGCTGCTCTGAACAGAAATATGGATGACTCTACCAAATTGACAATTTTTACGGCTTTCCTTTTCGCTGTAATTCATGGAGTTCCTGGGCTAGCAATGCTACAGCGCCTCAACAAATACATGTTACTCAACAATGTTAGTGACAGTTTAGAAAAGTCGAGGTTTTGGAGGTACCTAGTTTGCTCTTATATTGTTGTTAATATTGTCCTCATGTATTTGTGGATTTATACATATCCCTAAACCCTATCTATCTATATAGGAGCCCCCTAGCTATTAGGGGAATTTTGCTTCACTGTTTATACTTTTCTGTTTAGTAGAGCAATAGTGTTAGTAGGTTAGATTGTTAGATGTTAGGGGAGAAGAGAAATTGCTAGGAATCAAAGCAGTACTAGTGCATTGGCATGATTGCTTCACTGTTTATATTGATAACCAACAAATAGCAGGCCCGGGGCGAAATAAAACTTAGGCTGTTGCCTCACCTAATGGCAGTAAACTCTCCCACCACTGGCCACCATACCCGGTCCTCCCTTGTGTTATTATATATACCTTTCCTTCTGTCTCTACTCTCTCCCTTTAGGTGTCTAAATCTGTTTAATTTGCCCAATCTCCATTTGGGGTGGCTGCCTCCTGCTCTTGTGCAAATCTTGGTGTCTTTGGCAGCGGGGTTATCGTTATTTACAGTTGAAAGAAGCACTCTAGAACACGTCCTTAAAAGAAGCTTTCTCTTCTCTGCAACTTGTTGGAGCAGTTATGTTTTTATTTAAATATTTAAATATATTTATATTTTGTTTTACTACCAATGTTAAATACATAACGTTTTACTTTATTACCATTATTAAAATTCAATTGATTTTGGCTTAAGGAGTTATGCAATCAAACCGTTTCGTTCGTATTTCCAGTTTGAATTTGAATTACGTTTTGATTGTCCCGTTGTGATTTTTATCTTTTGTCTGTTTTGGTTTCCTACATCATTGCACCACTAATAACTCCTTTGATTGCAGGCCGGTTTACACCCCCGTAAACTTCCTTGATTTCTTACGGTTTCACACCCTCCAACGTCTATTTCTTTTTATATATATATATATATATATTAGTCGGGCGAATGGTAGAAATAAGAGATGAAAGAAAAAAAAGTTTTACATATATTGATTTAAAAAGTAACATATCGGAAAGGTGTAAGTTCGAAGGTTCTTCCAGTGTGCAAGGAAGAATTTTATCAGAAGAAGGTTTTTTGGGCTGTTTTATCCTGGAGACAACGTGGTGTTTGTGAACTGCTTGCACACTTTGGACAGATCCGCGAAATGTCTTAAAGAGAGCGACTTAATCCACGACTCATCCCAAGAATCATTCACCACTCAAGGCTTCTACATTTTTCGGGTAACTTCGGTCCTTTCTATTTCAATTTACAACACAACTCCTTGTAATTAGTAGTAGAAAGAATTTCGGTATTTGATTCGCCATATGCAACAATCTAATGGCACCCACGATTTTCCACATCTTCTACGAGGTTGCGATATCTCCAGTCTTTTAACACTCGTATCATATTTGTACTCTCCATGAATGAAAAGGAGTCACCTGCTTTGGAACCATGCAACCAATCCAACCAAAACAAGGCAAGCCGCATCCAAAGATGATAAGTGACTTGCATGTACGTAGGTACGTACGAATTTAGTCCTATCTAACTTTTCCTTTATTAATTTGCTAGTTAGATTAACCTCTTTGTTTTTTCTTTTGTTATTGTTCTTTTGCTAGTTAGATGTGTGCTCAAGTTTCGATTATGAATTTTGATAATTTGAAGTTTTTTTTATCAGAATTCACTCATTTTAATTTTAAGCGCTTCAGTAGTATTGTTTTCAACAAAAGGGGAAAATGTTGCTGCTAGGTGATTTGAATAAGTTCATATACTGAAGAACTTTATATGATTATTTTTTGAAAGCAAGCATTTTTATGATGGCAGAAAAATTCTCTCAAAAACTTAAGACTTCTCTATTACTATAGCAATTGATTGATTTTGTGCAATTTAATCAAGTTTTGATTCTAATTCAGGTCATAATTTATTAATAAGTGATATTATTTAGAAATACAAAACTAACATATTAGCTGACAATCTCTAATGCATATGGGTTTTATCTGCCATGATTGAGCTCATATATATTGAAAAGTGACTGCATCAGTAAATTTGTTAGTCCTGTGTGTTTAAATACTACTATTGTTTTTTTTCCTTAAAATCATAATGTTGTCTTGAGTGGATTTGCTTCATATATAGTCCGCATTGCGATTTCTTTTGATGTTGCAACTGGGTTCATTGACCAAAGGTCAAATGAAATCATTTGATTGACAATCGAAGCTAAATGTTAAAATTCTTAATATGATCAAAGATTTCCGATTCCTTATGTACGAAAATTCCTCAATAAATTTGATTAATGCCACCAGTTTTATGCTGTAATTCATGTGAAAAGTCGAACTCGAACCTTGCCTAACAACACTGTTTAACGGGGTAAACAATGCGTCGATCAAGAAGCACGATCATCTAAATTTGGATAGGCAATTTAAAAAAAGTGTATACTTGCTATGTTTTTCAAAATATTTCAAGACAAAAAATCAAAACCTGTCCCATGTTTGTCAGTTTACTTGAGCTTTTGAAGTTCCTATGTCAAATTACCATGTCAAAACAAGAGTCTCGTTCTCATAGACTCGTCCAAGAAAAATGAGGTTATCCAAAGCTCGATCTTAAAGTACAACAAAAAAAGTTAAATGACCACCTTCAATTGGATTAAGATCGAACTGTGGGTAGTGGCAGATCAAAGAAATATTCTTCCGTGCGGTGAGGTGTTACTAGTAAACGTTCATGTGGACTTTTGCTCTACTTATTATCAGCATCTGGCAGTGCCCGGGGGTGTGACCAGATGAAGGTTTTTAACCGAAGAGATAAATCATGCTACGAGTTAGTTAAGTTGATGCAGTGAAAAAAAATAATAAAATCAAACATTTGGTGTGACTGCTAAGAAAAGGATTGGCTTGATAAAGTAGCGCTACAAAGTTTTAACACTTGAAAACGACGTGTGTATAGGGCATGGGAAAAATAAAAATAGGTCTGAGATATGGAAAAACTGATCTTATGTATGTGTTACCGATCTTGATGAGTATGGTTTTTCTTGCCGTCGATTTGTATGAAATGTAGTTTATGTCTCATTATTTGAATGTGCAATGCATATCTAGTGCAAAGAAGATTTACGATATCACCTGCTCAGTACTACGGTCTGGTGATATTCTTCTTCACTTGGAAGTGAAAGGTCTTAGGTTCGAATCTTGTGGATGACAAATTCGATACCAAATTAGATTGTTCATTGTATGGTTTTGCCAAACTCCCCTCCTATGTCAAAATATCGATGTACTAAAACAAAATAAAAAGATTCACGATATCAATTGAAAATTTACAAGTATTCAACGTTGTTTTGTAACAACGCGTCCCCAAATATTACTGTTTTTACAATTTTAATACGTGAATTTACAAAAATGCCCTCCAAGGCTAAAATGTTGACTTTTGTTGACCAGTCTTATCATGTCACGTAAGGCTCTTTTCCTTGGCGTATCCTGGTAGTACTCATCGTTATGAAAGCATGGACGCAAGCAGAATCGAATTAAAAGCTAAGACGAAGATTTTACGAAATTTGAAATGTAAGGGCATTTTGGTAATTTTACAAGTAGAGATATTTTCCATTGTGGACCACCATCGGGCTGACACATGGCAACCTCCCCCATTTCTAGGGTGTTCTTCCCGATTCTCTCTCTCTTTTTCCCTCTCTTTCTCCTTATCTCTCCCAGGGACACACTCTCTCACCCTCAGCTCCCTTTCATCCCCTCTAAGCTCTCTCTCTCACTCACCTTCACGCTCCGAGTTTTACGAATGATTTTTATGGCATGCTAGAGTTTTCGTAAAACCTACTATGTAGTACTATTACTATATATGTGTTTTCAAAACAGGAGAGTTAGTATGTTCAGAAAGAAATGATTTTCTTATTATTAGTATTATTATTATAAACTTCGGTAGACTCTCTCTTTTGGTTTTGCGTCTTCTCAGGAGTTAGAATCGAGACATACAATCACGGCATCAGAGCACTTCCACATAGGTATCTTCGAGCCTCTCGATGTAGGACCCACTTCCTTGGTAATCCCATTTATTTCATAGTGATTCTTTCACATTATTCTTGATTAGTTGTATGCTCTGAACACGGTTTTACATGAGTGTATCTCTTTCTAATCACATATTTTGTTCGTATGCATGTTTTAAATGGCTTCGTCACCCTCGGGTATCGGCCAGCACGTGCCTATCTTGGTATTTGGGGATATCGGGATTGGGCCGTGTCATGTTTCTTGTTGAACACCAGAACTTCCATCCATCCGTTCATGCATACAACAATTGGAAGTAATAATGTATGATCAAACGACACCAAAAAGACGCGAGGATAAACCGATGGAGATACATTGGAAATAGAAATAAAAACTACCAAGACACTATGAAATCACAAATACCCTCAGCTCGTCTCTATCTCCTCTGGTGATGCGGGTATCTGCGTCAAGGTAGGTAACGTCAAATTCACCACTTCCTCGGTTAGACGGAGGTCTTAGTCCTTCTGGTAACTGAGGTAACTCTAATGGAGGAAGTTGCGATAAGGTTCCAGTAGTCTTTACAGTAGTTTTCTCGAATACAATTTTAACCCTGGCAGATCCTGTTACCATTATGGGTGGAAACTGTATTAGAAAGATTATTCATTGGTTTATGCCATGGCATGCGTACGTTGCTACGTAAACCAAAATACAGTAAATAACAGAATTCGGAAGTACCTATGAGCTCAAATTTGTGGGCCAAAGTGGCAGTTGCGTCAACGGGAGGCAGGGGCCATGGAACACCTAGTTCAAGCTCCACTATGTTATCAAAGTCTTTGCTGAAGATGTCAATCCGTTGAAATACCTATTTGCATAACATATATTACATTCAGAGCAGCAAAATTATCAATGAATATTCAATACATGGAATAATTTTGGTATTATGTAAGACCATGACAAGGACTAAACAACAATAGGGTCAGACAGAAGATCTTTAACGATGAATGCCTAGCAAGGTAGGTTGTTTATCTGAGTTGATTTGCATCGTACCACAGTTAATTTAAGTTCCAAATAGGTCTAGTATGTCTTCACACAGCAGATCTTAGACGTTCTCCCTTCCAACTGTTCAGAACTTCATATGCATGTGTGCGATCACACATGCATATGTTTATATGTGCACGAGCACACGTATTGTCTGGTTATATATTGACATATGGTGCTGCTATTTGAAATCCTAGGCCCAAGTTTAGATGGAACAAAATATGTTTCAAAGGAACTATTCCAAAGTTTTGCTTCGTAAATTGGTTAGCTATAACAGACATTTAACTATCAAAGAAAGACGTTCAAAGGGATTCCCCTGGAAATTTTCTGTGCATTTATACTATATGGTCTGTGTATGGTTTTTGGCTTTCTTTACTGCACTGTTTCTTCCTTACCAAAGAAAAAGTTTTCATACCTGTTTTGGCACTGTGAACAGGATATGGGAAGGAGAGAAATGGAAAAGGATCCACACTAATAAAGAGCACAAATGATCAACTTCCTAAAGCAATGGTGGAAGAAATTAGAAATTTGAGCTAACGATGAGATCTGGAATGACTTGCAGACTCAATGGTTAAAAAAGTAAAAGACTTTGTGGGCATCGGGGCATGTGAGTTTCTAAGGAGGCTCAGGTAAAGTCACTGGACATTAATATTTCAATTAGTGTTCATAGTTAGCAAACATGCAAATGGATGAAAGAGTGTCACCAGCGTCCAGGAATATAGTAGATGAGTACCTGGCCTAAAGTAATCGGGAGTAGCCTTCCAGTGGGAGGTCCAGGACGGCTCCCACCTAGAGTACGAGAAGAAAATGCACTGCTATATATCAGTTTCCATCTCCCCTGCAGTTTATCAAGATCAGCTGAGAGATCCACTGGACCTCCAGCAGCTTCAATCTCCTTGGCAGCAGCATCTGCCTTTTGTAGATCCTCTCGCAATGCTGCAAGGCCTCTATTTAACCCAGAAACAGCACTCTGCACCATATTAACACACACATTGAAAAAACTTTATGACTATATATAAAGCAGGATAAACAGTTGAATACACATAAATAAAGACCATGACTACCGCAAGCCCACGTGCACATTGCTATCATAAGCGACAACAATCAAAACATGAGTTTAACAATGTAGATTTGATATGAAAAAGAGGTAGACTGAGGGCCGTGATTTGATTAAGATACACTGACAGAAAATACTGATGAATCTGTAAATCAAGAACCTTTTTGCGAAATCAACTTTATAAGAAGAGTTTAAAAACAGAACCTAGAAACTAAGGTGACTTAAAGAGGCTTATTCAAGAGCTTCAGTTGAACCCTATGCCAGTCGCATTAGCCTTCGTATCCTCATTCCAGCATATTTACCTCACAAACGTTCAACATAAACACGACTATCGGCTTTCTCTGATCATAAAATCAATATTTGACCATAAAATATAAAAGCAAGAAGACATTATCAGAAACCACAAGCCCGAAAAAAACAACGATGCACATAACATTAGTGTGATAGAAGTAATTTAACATGAGATCCATTAAAAATTTTACGAACCCCATTCTTCGTTGAACAGCATGCTGCAGAGAATTTGTATACCAGTTACATTTACACAGTAGTCTAATGCTTCCACCAACTACTTGATTTGCAGCGAGAAAAATGTCCAAGACGTCAAATTTTGTAAGGTTTTGATAGCATGCAAGGTCCTTCCATATAAAAACAATCTAATTTGCCCCATTCACTCCTAACCTCAACTGTACCAAGTTTAAATTCCAAAAGTATAATTAAACAACTGATAACAAAATAGGAGCATTCAAAAAATCCAAATTTTAAATAGTTTAAATCAGTACGAAAATACCCAATAAACCCCAATGCAAAATCAAGCAACTTTAATTATATTTAGCAAAATGAGAGCAAATTAAGCTTAATTCAGAAATGGGCAATTCGCAATTTCAACGACGTACCAATAGCTTGAGCTTCAAAGACGCTAAGAGTTCAGGGTTGGGCGCGGGTTTACTTCCGGAAGACGGCGGAGGTGGCGGCGGCGGCTCGACAAAAGAGACCTCGTCCGCAGCTGCTCTCAGAGCAAAGCTTTTGGTGTGACGGGGATTTGCCGAACCAAAACGGAGGCGTTTTGGGGAGAGTGGTTTGCTTAGAAGAACATAGTTTGCAGAAGAAGTAGAAGGCGAAGAATGTAGAGAGTGAGGGAGAGAGCTCGTAGAAGCCATGGCCATGGCTAGAAAGCAAAGGTCTTGGCTTTTTTGGGAGTTACATGTTTGTCGGTTGTGGGACAATTGGACTTTTTTATTTGGTTGTCAGGACGCGACTACATTGGTGGTTACCGGTGGCCCTACCATTGGAAATTTTAACGCTTCAAAATCATTTTATTTTATTTTGGTTGGATTTATTTAAAATTGACTTTTTAGTTAAAATTATCTTTGAGATTTGACCTCTTATTTTGGTTCATGAGATTTGATTTCTCACTTTGTACCAAAATGATAGAGAACCATAGTTTGGATTTTTGCGTTTTTTTTATTCTTAATTTTTGGAACAAACGATATTATCTATACTAGAACGAGGAATGTAGGCTGAGCCTTATAATAGGCAGCTAATAATGTGGTTCAAATTCACCTTTGATGAAAATCGAATATAAGGCATTTCACTTACAAGTGAAGAAGAACACCACTAGACAATAGTACTAAATGACATTTGTATTAAGCTTTTTAGTTAAGCTCTTGGGTGCACTCATTAGATGAATGGGTGCATATGGAGCCATCTATATGGGTGTGGGTGGACTGATCAGAAGAAGAAGAAGGCGATTGCATTGGTGGTTACAAGTTCGTTAGTGTAAGTGCGCGAGTGTTTGTAAATGTCCAAATTTGGGTCCTACGATTACAAATTTTAACGGTCCAAATTCATTTTACTTTATTTGGTTAGGTTTATTTAAAATCAGCTTTTTAGCTAACATGGTCCATAAGATTTGCATAATTCCTCACCTTGATCCCTAAGATTTAAAATCGATAGAATTGGTCCCTGAGTTTGTCAACCATCAATCATTTTGGTCATTCTCTGAAATATCTCTATTAAATAAGGATAAAATGACAAAAATACTCTCAAATTTTGTCAAATCATTTTGCCCTAGTGTTTATTAAATTGAGGGTATTTTTGTCATTTTGATCTTTACTTAACATAATTTTTCAACAAAGGACCAAAATGATTGATGGTGAACAATCTCAAAGACAACTTCTATTGATTTCAAATCTTAAGAACCAGAGTGAGAAGTTATGCAAATCTCAGATACTATTTTGGCTAAAAAGCCTTTAAAATCGGTCGTTTAAGAGGGGATAGAGAACCATGGTTTGGCTCTTGCTTTAATAATTAAGAAAAAAAAAGTGATATTATCTATACTAGGGGAAGGAATGTGGGCTTAGCCTTACAATTAGCAACTAATAATGTGATTCAAATTTACTTTTGATGAGAATCGAATATAAGACATTTTACTTACAAGTGAATAAGAACACCATTAGACAATAGTACTAAGTGGGTTTTGTATTAAACTTTTTAGTTGAGCTCTTGGGTGCACTGATCAGATGAATGGGTGCATACGGAGCCATCTATATATAGCCTATAAAATAAGGTCCATTACTATAGAAATTTCAAGGCCCAAACCGTAAAAACGAAACTTTGACTTACGAAACCTCCAAAAATTTGAAAATCTCAAATTAATTTCATTTTCCCGCTCAAATTCGAAGCAGAGACAAATCAAATCCAGTCGAAATTAATTTCAATCTCCATTCATTCCATCTTCCCAGTCGCTTTAAAAAAACTCATCTTCCAACCTTAAGATCTTCGGTTATCACAAACACAATGTCGGCCTCATCGGCTCCCCGCCTCAAAGACCGCGGCGGCGCTGGCTCCGTCGCAGGGTCCAAAGCCGCTGCCACTCTCAAACCATCCAAGCCCCTCACGCCGGTACCCTTTTCCGACAAGACGTACTCCAGCGTCGGAAAAGAGAACCCTCTTTCTGGGACCGCCGCTTTCCGGACCTCGGCCAAGAAGCCCACGATCCGGCCCGTTTCCCGTGTTGACAAGGCGTCTGTGTCTGTGGCAACCAGAGACCGCGGCGGCGAAACGCGTGCCCGGTGGTCCATGCCGTTGGCGCCGAGAGGTAGGAGCTCTAGTCCTTCTGAGTTTACAAGGGTACTTTGTCATACGGGTAAGGAGCGGAGGGTCTCGGTGGGTCGGGCCAGACCGGGTTCGGGTCTGAGTTCGGTGGGGGAGAGCGATCGAGTGGTGGCGAGTGCAGGGAAGGCTCTGAGTAATGTTAGGGGATCAGCGAGTGGGAAGCAGAGAAAGGATTTAGGGATTTGGATGTGAAGAAGAGTGAAGTGGGGGCGAATGGGATTAAGGTTTTGAGGGATATCAAAGAAATTGGTAAAGTTGATGTGAATTTAGAGAAAAGGAATGCAACTTCTGGAGAATTAGAAGTGAAAGGAGTGGGAATTGAGAAGAATTGGGATGGAGTTAGGGTTTCGGGAAGTGGTGGTGGAGTGTGTAAACTTACCTCCGAATTGAAAAACCCAAATGGGGTTGATAAAAAGGATCGAAATTTGGTGAGGGTTGATGATAAGGCTGTGAAATTTGGGAGTGGTGCTGTTTTGGGACTGAAGGAGTCTGGTGAAAAATCTGTGAGTAATGCAAAGGTTTTGGAGGGTTTGAAAGAAAAAAGGCTGAGTGAAGAAGGGCGTAGTGGCAGTCGTTCGGGTATCAAATATCCAAGTAAGCTTCATGAGAAGCTCGCTTTCTTGGAAGGGAAGGTTAAGAGGATTTCCTTGGATATTAAGAAGACAAAGGAGATTCTGGATATGAATACTACAGATACGTCGAAGGTGATACTCTCTGATATTCAGGAAAAGATTTCCGGGATTGAGAAGGCCATGGGACATGTCAATGATTCAAGTGGTAAGATTGGGTTGCTGAAAAGTACTGAGCATAATGACCGAGATGCCAAGGTAGTTGAGAAGGGCCATATTGAGCCAGTGAGTAATGCTAAGAGTTTTGTAGAAGGGTTGAACAGTGAAGACTTGGAAGCTAGGCTCTTTCCTCATCACAAGCTGCTTAAAAACCGTACGGCATTGAAAGGATCATCACAAAGCTCCAAAGTCATGGGTCCCAAGCTGTTGAAACCAGTTGTGAAGCAAACGTTGAAGAGAAGTCATTGAGCCTTATAGATGATAACCTAATTGCAGTAGAGTTCTTGGCTTCCTTGGACCAAACTAAAGTTTCAACAAGGGATGATGGATGTGAAGATTTGAAATGTTTTGAAGTTCAAGAAGTGGATGGTGTCAATGCTGCAGAAGTTGAAAAATCTTCAAAATTTGTCACTGGCAAGCTGACTTTGGAGCTCATTCTCACAACTGATGAAAAACTTGATGAGTTGGATGATCAGGAGAATATACAGGAAACGATCATGGATGAGGAAACTGAGGATACCTGCATTTACCAGCTGAACCAAATAGGCCAAAAAACCTCAACTGGCGGGTGGTTTGTGTCCGAAGGAGAGTCGGTTCTTCTTGCTCATGATGACAGTTCATGCACCTTCTATGATATTGTAAACTGTGAGGTATTTAACTTTTCTCCTATATTGCTTGAGCTTCATTGCGTAGATATGCTTATAATCAGTTCTCAGATTCATCCTTTGATATGCTCTTTGCCCTTTAATAATTGAAATATCAAAGGAATTTCAGATCTTGTCCATATTCAGCATAAATTAGGCTTACTAGATTTGAGTTTGAATTCTTGGTGTGATTTTACTTTTACTGCAAATTATAGTTTGATTTTCTTTCAATTATCCTAGACCAAATGTTAAGATTCAAAAAACCAAGGTGAAAAACGTGCATGTTTATATTATAGTTTGAAAATATGAACAATTAGAGAACGTAAAATTGTAATAGCTGGATGTGAAATTTGCATTATTGATTGATGATTTATGGTCTTTTCAGGAGAAGGTTGTGTATAAACCTCCTGGTGGAGTTTCACCTAATATGTGGAGAGACTGTTGGATAATCCGTGCTCCCAGTGCTGATGGTTGCTCAGGAAAGTACGTTGTGGCTGCATCTGCTGGAAATACAATGGATTCAGGGTTTTGTTCATGGGATTTCTATGCCAAAGATGTGCGTGCTTTCCGGATTGAGGACTGTTCAGCTCCTTCAAGAACAGTGCTTGGTCCCTTACCTAACAGCATTTCATATGGAAGAAATGCTTTGTCTGATCTTCTGGATCCAGAACCTAGACAATGGTGGTATAAACCTTGTGGACCTCTCATTGTCTCAACTGCTAGTTGTCAGAGAGTTGTGAGTATTTATGACATCCGTGATGGCGAACAAGTTATGAAATGGGATGTATCGAAGCCTGTTACAGCAATGGATAATTCAAGTCCCTTGCAGTGGAGAAATAGAGGAAAAGTTGTTGTAGCTGAAGCTGAAACAATTTCCTTGTGGGATGTGAACTCTCTTAACTCTCAGGCTTTACTATCTGTTTCTTCTTCTGGTCGGAAAATTTCTGCTCTTCATGTGAATAACACTGATGCTGAACTAGGTGGTGGCGTTCGACAAAGGTAGATGTCAACCTTTCTTTTGGGCTTTTACTTGTTTCATTTTCTATTTCTGGTTCATATATTTTACTTGTTTTGCTTGTGTTTGATGAATTTACTCTCAAATTATATCATGGATTTGTTCTCCATTATCTGCTTGAATATGTCACTCGCGTTACTAATGTTTTTATGTGTGATTCCATTTTTCTATTCTGTAATCCTTTTGCTGTTGCTTGTCCTCTCTTTATAGTGGTCTTTGCCTTAGCAGCTGCAAAGGGGTTTTTCAGATTTCACTAAAGAAAGACTCATTCCAAAAAGGATTCCTGTAGAATTCCGTTTGTGACCTTAAGCAAGGATGTAATGGACTTTTTTCTTATACAACCATGTTGGCGGCTTTTTTCTGCTTGAATATGTCACCGTGTTGCTAATTTTGTATGCGCGACTAATTTCTTTTATCTTGTTTTCTTGCTTATATTGTTGATAGTATATCAGGTAGGAAATTAGGGCTGGCATGAGAATATATAACCTGAAGCAGAAATTTTCTTATGGTCATTTTTGAAGCATTTGCAAAAGAATCTTTATTAAGAACTTAAGTGATTGTTTAAATTGTAGGGTAAGTTCTTCTGAGGCAGAAGGAAATGATGGAGTGTTTTGTACCCAAGATTCTATTAACATTATAGACTTTCGGCATCCGACTGGCGTAGGTCTTAAGATACCAAAACTCGGTGTCAATGTGCAATCAGTTTTCTCCCGTGGAGATTCTGTCTTCCTTGGCTGCCCTAGTGCAAGATTGGGATGGAAAAAACAGTCCTCTTCACAGGTTCAGCAATTCTCAATCCGACAACAAAGGCTATACAGCACTTACGCTTTGCCAGAGTCAAATGCTCACAGCCATGACACAGCAATTACGCAAGTTTGGGGGAATTCCAACCTTGTCATGGGTGTTTGTGGGTTGGGGCTGTTTGTATTTGATGCGTTGAAGGATGACGGAGTTCCATTGTTGACCAGTGATGATGGGACTCATAAAGCCAGAGAAACTGTTGGTCCAGATGACTTGTACGCACCTTCTTTTGATTACTTGGGTTCTCGGGCACTTCTCATCTCAAGAGATCGCCCGGCACTATGGAGGCACTTACCATAGGTTAGCAAAAGTTGTAATGCGTTTTGTTATTTTGGTAAGATGCTGCTGCTGCGGTGTGTGGTGTTATGTATAAATATATTGCATGCCTCCAGGTTGAGGTTCTCTCAGTCAGGATCTTTGTTTATCTTGGTTTTATGCTTGTATTTCAAGATGGTTATTGAAGCTAAGAATCTGAAACTGTAGGGTTGGAACAAATTTTCAGCATTGTGAATTGTGATGAGGGTCGTACGCCGACACCTAGACATGCTCCCGAGTGGTATAAAGAAAATCAGTTGGATTCTTGGCTCGTTTGGAATCATTTTTAATAATAACACAAGTGCTCCTTGAATATAAGCACACATCAAGTGCTTCTTTCAGAAAGTGCTTTTTGAATGCAAAAGCACGTTTAAATTTTTTTTTTTTTTTCTGCCAAACAATGGTCAGATGTGTTTTTGGTGATTTCAAAGTGCTTTTAGCTATTTTGTTTTTTTTTTTTTTTGAACAAACGACATTATCTACATTAATAGGATAAGAGAGTGGGTAAGCCTCACAAATGGCTAGCAATATTTGTAGTTATTTTAAAAGCACATCCATCCAAGTAAACTTTCCAATGTCCCTAGATCTTCTAAGTTTGGAATGTTGATGGCTCCAGCAGGCAAGTGGATGAGGGAAAAGTCGGTTGCTTTCTGCGGAACCATAGGGCTTTAGTTGGAGCCTTTGGAGGTTCCCAATGGCTTAGGATCCTAGAGTTGACGCATAACATGTTACCCTTGTTAGAGCATCTCATCTAGTTGGCATAGGGCAATGGCAATTGGAGAGCAAAAGCACTAAAATTGTCTTTACTTTTTACTCTAAACAGTAATTGTCTTTGTGCAAGTCCACCAGTTTGGACAAAGAAGAGCTAAGGGCAGGAGCAATTACTATTCACAAATATAGTTTTTTAATTTTTTTAATGTCTTCTTTGTCTTATCCTTCGCGTGTCATTAACATTGTAAATTTTTGCTTAGATTCTTGACCATTCATGTAGTTTCACGTGTCATTATCGTCGTAGATTTTTTATGTGTTTAATTTTAAATTTGTAAGTGTCTTGAACTTTGTAAGATTCATCAAGTGTGAACTTTGAATGTTTTTAATATATTTGGGTATTTGTAGAAAAAAAATTTGGGGTTTTTTGGAATTTTATTAAGGAATTTTTTGGAATTTTTACTATTAGAATAATCTTGACCGTTGATTTCCAAATTATAACGTTGGAAGGTCAGAATTCTGCCACGTGGCAATTGACCACAAAGGGACAATTTTTTTCTTGTTGGAAAACCAATGGTCCAAATTAATGGACCATTGGAAATCTAACGGTACAAATTGACCAAGAAGGAGTCAGTTGGCTCATGTCTCATCATGTGGGGATCTACAGTTGTTTGCTAGTGCAAGTTTAGGGCACCTACCCTTGCAATAATTAGAGCACTTCCACCGTTGGCAATAGCCCGATGGACACCCAATGGCCAGAGTTGCATGTTCCAACCCACAATGGTGTGTGGATGAAAGGGGGCCCAAGCGAGAGGCTCGTGGGGAATCGCTGGCTCGAGACCCCGGAGTGGGTATGATGCAAGGCTGACGTCAAGGTGACGTCAGCCACGTGTTGTCTCTTTTTTGCGTCAGGTGCTTGCACTTCAAATGCGTGTCTGCCAACACAAATTTAGAGTTGGGGCCTGCGACGCTTTTTTGAGATGTTACCGTTGGGGAGGCCACGTGGCTTCCCCATGTCTGTTGGATTTCAATGGCAACATTTTATGGATAGTTGGATTTCCGACAGTAAATTTTTTTAAAAAAAAAAGCTTATTTAATTTCAGATGTTGGATCTGAGATCAATAGTCCATGTTATTCGCCTTTATAAATTTAAAAAATAAAAAACAATTTAAAATTTTGAAATCTTACTGTTGTGCCACGAGGCACAATCTAGAGTGTTGGAATTCAATTTTTTTTAATCCAATAGCAAAGATTAATTATGTGAATAAAAAAATTAAAAAAAATGTAAAAAATTAATAAAAATCAGAAAAAATTTTTGAAAAATTTAAAAAAAAAAAAAAATGATTTTACTTTTCTATAAATACCTTCTCATTATCTTCTATCTTACACCACAATTTCATATTTTGTCAACTAGTTTCAACCACATTCCTATCTTTCTCTCAAAGTTTCAATCCAATTTTTTTTTCTAACAAAATGACTAATGATGCATGTGCGAATTGGATGCTTATTGAAGATGTTACATTGTGTACTAGTTGGGTTGAAGTTACTTATGATTCGATTACAGGTAATGAGATGCAGTTGCGAGAAATGTGGATCAAGTAACAATATATATTTATTTGTTTGTACTATACCCAAATTTACGTTACCTACTTTGATTATAATTATTTCTTCTCCAGCATTGTTTAGACACTTCAAGCACAAGCTTGGTATACTGCCAAAACCAAAAGCAAAAACAAATCATTCAACAGGTGGGAATGTTGGAATATTGTCAAAGATTGTCCTAAATTTATAGTTGTTCATGTCAGTCCAGAAGTTTTCATGAACATCACCCCTCTACACTCTATGTCCGATCATGCCTTGCATGTTCATGAAGATGACGTAGAAGAAGTGCCCGAAACGCACCCCCCCTGAAAAAGCGTCGGGGTCGACTCATTATCCAATTAGGCCTCAAGGTAAGAAGGCTTTAAAGAGAAAAAGGGAGTGCTTCCAAGAATGATTATGCAAATTATATGGAAGAACTTGCTTGCCAAGGTGAATAGACTTTGGCACGGGAAATGGCTAAATTTGAGGCTAATAAGGTTAGAGAGGAGGCAAAAGTTGCAGTTGTTGAGAGAGAATTAGAGAAGAAAGAAGGGCTCAAAGAAATCGTGACATTATGAACAAACCTTTATAAGGGAAGTCTCCGAATTATAAATATTTTTGGAATTCGGAGAAAGCGGACATGGTGCGAAGGAGGCGTTCAAGAGAAGCGAGAGCAAGAGGAGATGATCCTAGCACCACAAGAGAAGATGATCCTAGCACCACAAATTGGTTAGGTGATGATTTTCCATTCATGAGCCCATAATTTTCCAATCACTTTGGGTTGTAATTTCTTATTTATTGAATAGAGTAATTTATGTTGTTTCCAATTTATTGAATTTAGTACTTTATTTAAAGTAAGAGTAAATTTATTTAATTTGGTAATTTGTTTATACTAAGAGAATCTTTATTCAAAGGACATAAAGACACCAAATAAAATTACATAAACATACCAAATAATAAAAAAACTCACTAAATGAACTAAAAAAAAACACACCAAATAAAATTAAATAAACACACCAAAATAAAAACAAACACATTAAATGAACTTAAATATCTTGAGCTTGTTTCAATTCTCACTGGTGTTCTATTATGGCTTTTGAAGTGCAGTATATCATTGAATGAGCCTTTCATTATAACGTCCATCCCTTTCTAATGACTCGTGTTGCACATGAATGTGATGCTCTAGGCATTCTTGCTTCGTCATCTCTCCTTCTACGCTCCTCATCCTCTTCCATCTCATTTTGGGCCACCTGGAGATTGAGCAGTCCTTTTAATTGGTTAAACAATTCTTCCTCTTGCTGATCAATTTCCCACATCATCCTTAAAGAAGAAGACATTGTAAGAATGAAGCAAAAACTATGAATAATAATACAGATTTTGATTTTGATGAAGAATGAAGTAGAAACTATAAATAATGATAGAGATCTTGAGAAAATTGGTGTGAGATTTATGAGGATGGATGGTGGATTATATGGAGGATTCAAAAAGATTAGATTGTAGATAATGTCACGTGACATGCCATCATTCATTAAAAATCTGATTGAAATTCATCCTCAAAGATTATAAACAGATTGTGACACATGACGCGACGTGATTGGTTAAAAATCTTACCGGAAATCTATCCTCAACGAATTTGAAAAGGTAACGACACGTGGCATGACGGCATTGGATAAAAATCTTATCGAAATCCATCACCAATAATTGTCTTTTTGGATAATGACACGTGACGCAACGAGAACGATTAAAAATCTTATCCGAAATTACAAATAAAATTATTTTGTATTATTTTATAAATAAAAAAATACTAATATTTTATTGCCTATTGCCAATGCTATTCAGTGTAGGGATGGAGATGCAAAAGGCAGTTACCGTTTATTAAAGGCAGTTACTATTCATTGGGTGGATTAAATAGTGAATAGTCCTAGGAGGCCTTAGCAACGATAGAGTTGCTCTTAGCAGGGCAGCTGCCATACGACCTGCCCTTCTACCAATTGCCACACTTTTTTGTAATTGGAGCAACTGTTTTTGGGTAGGGAGGCAATTCAATTCAATTGCAAGCGCAATTCCACACTGGTGGAAATACTCTTAAAGGCAACCCCCATGGCCGCATTTAAGGGTTTGTTTCTTAATGTATACGCCTTATTTCCCACATGGAATTTACCTAGTGTCACTTTCTCGCACTACTATTGTTGTATTGCGAACCCCACGAAAATGAATGGTTAGAAATCAAATACGTACGTATGAGCGAATAACCTGTTCATACTTTTCCCCTTGTTCGGAAGAAGCGCACCCTTGCTGATGTCCATGCCAAACTGGCCACAGCCTTGCGTCATTCCCACCTCGGGCTCAAGGGCTGGCAATCCCTCACAGGCCCTTTGCTCAGGCCTCCCCCTTCCACCGGGCTGCCTCACGCTGGAGGCCTACCACCGGCCCTCGGGCCTTTGTTTTGGAGACTGTCCCCCGAGCAATTTGCTACGGTGGGAATGCTCTAAGATGAGTGGGCTAGGGGTAACCTGCCCAGACTTGATTGTGGCTTTAGTTTTATTGGGCCACTGGCCCACTTCCACGCATGCAACCCAAAACCTTATCATGTGATATTGGTTTTTTTTTTTTTTTTTTAATTTAATTTTATTTTTTTTATACAAACGATATTGATAGGAAAAAAAATTGGATGAAACTTGTTATTTACGAGATTTAAATGTAAGATTGTAAGACTTTTTTATTTTCAAAAGAAGTTTAATATCGCTAAACCACAAATACTAAGTGACTTCATCTAAAGGTATACCTAAGAGACAAACAAGAGAAAAGAAAAACGTCTAAATGTCATTGTTATTACCTAAATAATCACATCACCACTAAATATAGTCTTAGCCGCTATGTCAGATAGGTCC